TCACATCTAATATTCAAATATTATTGTATGCATTTGGGGAAGTTATATTGTCTTCTTTGTACACATTTCTTGTATTTCTCTGCATATTTTTATGTATCTGGATAAGCACTTGGTGGCATCTCCTCTTAGGAATGTATAGTGGGTTACCTGCACCTTCAGGGGTTATCCAGAAGTGTATATTGGGTGGGGCTAGGGGGCTCCGGCTAGCATTTGTGGGTGGGGCAAAAGTCCAGGGTAATACCCAAATTCTCTTCTGTAGTCAGCAGGAGAGAGGGAATGACTGCTCTGGCTGGCATGATATGATCACTGCCTCCACCCTCCTCTGTACCAAGGTGAACGTCTCTGTGCCTGCAGCCCCACTCATTCAGTGTCATGAACCACATAATGAATCTGTGTGCTCCACGTTGTGAACATGGAGCCCTCTGGGAATTCCATTCCCAGCACTCAGGGAGTTCTGATATTTCGGGGTCAGGCTCAGTAATGGGCCAAGGACCCAGCCACATCTATGCCCTGATCGGTTTCCTGACCTATCAAACAGTCACAGGATTCCCACAGTCACAGGGTGCAGGATTCCCACAGTCACAGGGTGCAGGGAATCTACTCTCTGCACTGTGAGTCTCTCCATCCAGAGAGGGAACTGCCTTATCCCTGAGTCTGGCGTTTTAGTAGGAAGGGAGCAATGTGCCAAGGGAGTGCCCTGCCCTCTGCCAGCTCCACTCACTTCCCTGGCTGATTGCCAGGCAACTTAGTGAGGGGGATAGGTGGGATGCAATGTGCCCTCCATTCACCGTTAACAGGGCGCTCTGCTCCCCCCCACCCCAGCTCATCCATCCAAATTCAAAGTCCCAGGGGACTGCAGATTTCTCCCTCTGACAAAATCCACCAGAGGCACGCGGGCCACCACAGGCTCCATTCACCTTATTCTGAGATGATGCTTTCCTTGACGGATGCTGGGTGTGAGGAGAGGGAAACAGTGTGCCCTTCATTCACAGAAATGGGAGTCCTGGGCTCTGCCGACTCAACCTCCTGAAATCAAAATCAATGGGAACAGCGAGTCTCTCCCCTAGACAAGATCACCAGCAGAAGATGGGCTTCTGCAGACTCCTCTCACTTCACTGCGGGAAGATGGCCTCATTGCCACCTGTGCTGCTGTGTCCCATGGCTGCTGCATCTCTGTACCATCCTTACTGTTCCAAGGAGTCTCTCTTCTTTTGTAGGCTTTCACTGAAAACTTCTCTCCAGCTGTCTCCCAGGAACGCAGATCCTCCTCTGTTTTTTCTGTATTTTCCCATAATCAAACATACTGACACTAGCAGCCTGGAACTCACCTGGGTCTCCCACATGGGAGTAACCTTCACCATTGCTTGCTGGGGTGTGCATTAGCAGGAAGCCAGAATCAGAAGCAGAGCTGGGGGGCAGATGCTGTGGCACAGTGGGTTAAGCGACAGCCTGCTCTACCAGCATCCCGTGTGGGCAGGAGTTCAAATCCTGGCTGCTCTACTTCTGATCCACCTCCCTGCTAATATGCCTGGGAATGCAACAGAAGATGGCTCAAGTCCTTGGACTCTGTACCCACATGGGAGACCTGGAGTAATTCCTGGCTCCTGGCTCCTGGCTTAGGCTTGGCTCAGCCCCATTCGTAGGCAGCCATTTGGAGAGTGAACCAGTAGATGGAAGATTGATCTCTCGGCCGGCGCCACGGCTCAATAGGCTAATCCTACGCCTAGCGGTGCCAGCACACCGGGTTCTAGTCCCGGTTGGGGCGCCGGATTCTGTCCCGGTTGCCCCTCTTCCAGGCCAGCTCTCTGCTGTGGCCCGGGAGTGCAGTGGAGGATAGCCCAAGTGCTTGGGTCCTGCACCCCATGGGAGACCAGGAGGAAGCACCTGGCTCCTGCCTTCGGATCAGCGTGGTGCGCCGGCCGCAGCGCGCCGGCCGCGGCGGCCATTGGAGGGTGAACCAGTGGGCAAAGGAAGACCTTTCTCTCTGTCTCTCTCTCTCACTGTCCACTCTGCCTGTCAAAAAAAAAAAAATTGATCTCCCTCTCTTTATCACTCTTCCTTTCAAATAAATAAATGCATCTTTAAAAAAGAAGAAGTTGATCTGGGACTCAAATTCAGGCACTCTGACATGGGATGTGTGTATCCCATGTGGCATCTTTCCTGCTGTGACAAATGTCTGAACTCAACCATTTAAAAAAAGTTTTCACCAGAGCTCTTGCATGCATTTCTTCAAGTTTATCCCTGAGTATTTTGAGCTATAAAATATTTTTTCTAGTAGTTCATTGTTGATACTTAGACAATTGATTTTTGTACATTGATCGTGTATCTTATAACCTTGTTACAGTCAATGAGTCATATGTTTTTTTCTGTGCTTTACACAATTTCTTCTTTATTTTTCCAACCTCCTATTATTTAGGTGTTGTTACAGTCATAATTTATAATAATTTTTTCCCAGAACTGGTAATCTTTTTGCTCTACTTCCAACAACTTGAATAACACAGGGGTCTAATGCCAAGGCTCAGTCCCTGTCTGCCTCACTTTGACATTTAGATATTTGAGCAATACCTTGTGGCTATTCTGGGTTCCACTGGGACATTGTTTATGTCATTATGTTTCACAGCAAATGATTTAGCCAATAGAACCCCTAAAACATACAAAATATGTAAAGTGATAAAAAAAAAAGACTAGTGATTTTTCAGATTTAAAAAGGATAGTCACAGCTCAGTTCACAATTGCAAAGACATAGAATCAACCCAAATGCCTTTCAACTGAAGACTGGATAAAGAAATTATAGGATATGTATACTATGGAATAATACACAGCAGTAAAAAAAAAAGTCCAGTAATTTGCCACAAAATGGATGAAACTGGAAAATATCATACTTAGTGAAATAAACCAGTTCCTTTTTTACTTTACTTTTTTTTTTTTTTGGACAGGCAGAGTGGCCAATGAGAGAGAGAGAGACAGAAAGAAAGGTCTTCCTTTACCATTGGTTCACCCTCCAATGGCCGCTGCGGCTGGTGCGCTGTGGCTGGTGCACCGTGCTGATTCGAAGCCAGGAGCCAGGTGCTTCTCCTGGTCTCTGATGCAGGTGCAGGGCCCAAGCACCTGGGCCATTCTCCACTGCACTCCCGGGCCACAGCAGAGAGCTGGCCTGGAAGAGGGGCAACTGGGACAGAATCCGGTGCCCTGACCAGGACTAGAACCCGGTTTGCCGGCGCCGCAGGTGGAGGATTAGCCTATTGAGCCGTGGCGCCGGCCTGAAATAAACCAGTTCCAAAGAGACAAATCCTATGTGTTTTCCCTGACCTGTGATAACTAATAGAGCACCTAAAAGGCAAGATGTAGAAATGAAATTGAAACTTTGAGAAGCAATGACTTTGAACAGCCCTTCTCTTGACTGTTGAGGAACAGCTTTTTATTTTTATCTTTTCTTTATAATATTTTCCATATCTTTTTCTTTCATATGAATCATTGAGCTCTTTACTTAACATAGAATTAACCATATATGTATAAAATTTATTGAAAATAGATCTTAGTAAAGAATAAGAGTGAGAGTAAGAAAGGGAACAGGAAGGAGAGTGGGAAGTGGGCACAGAGTGAAGAATTACCAAGATCCTAAGGTTGTAATTATGAAGTGTATGTTGTTCGTATCTGCGAAATAGTATAGTCCTACATACATTCCCATGGGCTTATTTCTAAGGGCCGTGGGATCCCAAAGTCCCTGAAGTTGGCTGGTAAAAATAGCAGTTTAAATGTTATAAAGATCACATGGATAGGATTAAGTGGTAAAGTGACCATATAGATAAGATCAAGTGTTAAAATAATCATATAAGTAGAACTAAGTGTTTGGAAATAATAGAATTAAAATGGAGTAAAGGCTCCAACATGGGAAGCAGTCCACACAGCAGACTCATAGAATGAAAATTGCTTTAAGTAGCACTCTGACCTCAGAATTGGCCCTTAAGGCATTCTGGTCTGGCTGGGAAGCCCAGGAGAAGCACTTCAGGCATGGAAAGCCAAGACACTCTGGCAAAAAAAGTGTCCTATATAAAGGACCTCTGTGGGTGAGACCCAAGTGGAAAGAAGTGGCCACCAGAGAAGGATGTACTTTTCTCTGAAGAGAGGAGAGAACTTTACTTTGCTTATGGCCTTGTTGTGAGCTAGTGGATCCAAAAGGCTTCTACAACTGAGGCAGCTCATGTCAACAGCCTTGGCTGATCACTGATGTCATATATGAGAGTGTTATTTGTTAAATAAACAAGAGTCACTATGCACTAACTTCCTACGCAGGACCTCTGTCCCCAAAGAGTTGTATCATGAGACTTAATGGTAAAACTTGTTCTCAAGAATAACTTCCTTTTAGTGTATTAAGTGGAGGGTGTTATGTCTCATAAGTTATAGTTATGTCTAAGAGCTTGCAAAAGATGCATCATCCTTGGGTCCTTCTTTAAAGACAATTAAATTTCTAAAAGGAAAGAAGGTGGAGGAAGGAAGGGAAAACAGGAAGGGGGGAAAAGTGAAATCACCTTCAAGAAGCAATCACATAGAACAGCTCTTGTCTAGACTGTGGAGGAACAGTTTTTTTTTAGTTCCTTCCTTCCTTCCTTCCTTCCTTCCTTCCTTCCTTCCTTCCTTCCTTCCTTTCTTCCTTTCTTCCTTTCTTCCTTTCTTCCTTTCTTCCTTTTTCTTCTTCTTTCTCGGACTAAACAGGAGAGGGAGAAGGAAGTGGGGGAGAGTGAGTAGAAGGTCAGGTACGGTGAGAAGAATTACTGTGTTCCTAATGTTGTATTTATGAGATACATACCCAAAAAACCCACAAAAAGGGATAATGCTCATTTTTCCACATTTTCCCAGAGAGCACTGTTAGGGAAGTTACAAAGTTCCCAGCTGCAGTTCCTCTACCTGTGCTGAGTGGACGTCAGCTGCTGCTCAGCCTTCCATATTTGCATGTGCAGTAAAGCATCTCTTCCCTCCTTCTCTCCCACAATGTGCCATAGGAAACCACTTCTGTATAGCTAAGGACCTCATGGAGGAAATTAGATTGTTAGCAACAGAGAGAGACGTGCTGGAGGGAGTCCTCAACAAGCTGTTGATGCTGAGTTCCAGGAATGTCCAAAAGTTGAGAAAACTTAAAGAAGATTACACCAGACTGAGCAGAGAACTAGAGCACCTGGAAACTGCCTATGGTGAGTAGTGCACAACCGTTGCCTGGTGAAGTATTGATGATATTGATCGTGTTGTGTGACCCTCTGTGCTCCAAGTGAATGTCATGTCGAGGACATTGCAGAGCACGCATCACTTTCCCAGGGGACATTTTCAGCAGGAGCCTTGCAAATGATGGGATTACTTGTCAGCTTTTGTTCTGGTATTCAAATGTGACATCTTTTCTTTTTCTGTCTTAACCCTCTACCCTCCATTTGCTAATGTCTTTGTGATTTTTAGAGCAATTTCTCTCTTGGCACAGGTCTGGAGCATTTTGTTTATTTGATAATTATCTCCCTTTTGTTTCTCAGCTCAGTCTGCTGTTTTGAGCAGACCAATGCAGGCTGATTCAGAAAACTGAGAAAAGACCATGAAGAGGGCTCTTGTGTGTGTGTGCATGTGTGTGTGTGTGCATGTGTGTTAGTTTGCATGCTTTTCTGAGAGCATCTTTCCCATGGAAGAGTGGTGTTGCAGATGAAGTACTCTTGTGTTCTTCTTTGTTTTAGTTATTAAGGGTAACTGAAATCATCTCGAGAAGTGCAGCCTATAGGATTGTCTCAGAAGATGACTATTCATTCCAAATTGAGATAAAAATGTATTTCTTCAAAAACTGTAAAGAATTCTTGATAATTTATTTTCTAGTATATATACAGTGAAATCATTAGGAGCAAATTCAGATTTAAAATGTTACATGCTGGAACTTGTTTGTGTATCAGTGAAATGAGAAGAAGAACATGCCTTACAGGCAGATTAAATGATGCACATGTGTTTGTATGTGTGTGTCCTCTATTCCCCCTTCTGTTCTATTGAAGTTGCTGGAGGATAGCAGTCATATATAGCACATCATAGTCACTCCTTGAATGTTTTTACTGGAGAATGGAAGAAACATAAATGTGTGAATAGCAATATTTACAAGGAGTGCTTATTTAAAAAGAAATATTAAAGGAATTGGGAAGTAGAGAGTTATTAAGAGCCAGATTTAAAAGAGCTTATTTAAAAATATTTCACAAGTTAAAATAAGTGAGGATTAGTGTTTAAAAACCAAATAATGAAATATAAACTTGCAATCAGTAGTTACATGTGTCATTTGGGTAATAAATAAATTTTATTTTGAAGACTTACCAGATTATATAGCAAGGTTGCTTCACAAAGTATCTTGAATCAAAGATAGCAAGTCCCACGGTTATTGTGCCTTCTTAGCAGTGAACACTCCTAGGTTGGCTCCATAACTCAGAGTTGGTCTTTTTTCTTTTTAAGATTTGTTTGTTTTTTTTGAAACTCAGAGTTACAGAGAGAAAGGGAGAGACACAGTGAGATCTTCATCTGCTGGTTCCCTACCTAAGTGGCTGCAACAGCCAGGTCTGAGCTAGGCTGAAACCGGGAGCCTTCTGGGTCTCCCACGTGGGTGTCAGGGGCCCAAGCAGTTGAGTCATCTTCCCTTGCTTTTCCCAGAGAATGAGCAGGGAGCTAGATCAGAAGCGGAGCAGCTGGGACACAATTGGTGCCCATATGGGATGCCAGCACTGCAGATGGAAGCTTTACCTGTAAGGCCACAATGCCGGCCCCTGGTCTTTTCTCTTTTCAATTTTTTGATAAAGGTCTGTTTTTTACCAAATATGAACTTAGAGACTCTACATTTGAGCCTAAAAACAGTGGTTCCTGGGAATGATGACATATCCCTTGAAGACATGCCAGCCTGGTTCATGAGGTCATATAGGAATGAGCGTTGTCCCTTGTAAGTGAATTTTTGCTATACATTTCTAATTTTTAAAATTTTTTTTGTTCTACTTAATACTATCAGTTTAACTCTTTAATTAACACACAATAATTCTTAGGTGTTTAAATTTAACTGAAAAGTGTTCCCTGTTAAATATGAGTGGGAATAAGAGAGGGTGGAGATGTACAGTTTGGCACATGCTCAAGCTGACTTGCCCCAAACGGTAGAGTTAGAAATGTGCCAGGGGATTCCAACTCAGTCTCATCAAGGTGGCATGTACCAATGCCATCTCTCTAGTCAAAGTGATCAGTTTCAGTTCATAATTAACCATAATGATAGGATTAAGAGTCAAAGGGATCACCTAAACAAGACTAGTGTCTGCTAATACTAACTGATAGAATTAAAAAGAAGAGAATGATCCAACGTGGGCAGCGGGATACACAGCAGACTCATAGAATGGCAGATGTCCTAAGCAGCACTCTGGCCTCAGAATCAGCCTTTAAGGCATTCAGATCTGGCTAAAAAGCCCATAAGAGTATTTCAAGCATGGAAAGCCAAGACACTGTGGCAAAACAAAAACAAAAACAAAAACAACCAAAAACTAAATGAAAGATCTGTGAGTGAGAACCTAGTGGAAAGAACAGGCCATCAAAGAAGGAGGTACCTTTCTCTGAAGGAAGGAGAGAATTTCCACTTTGACAATGGCCTTATCTAAATAACACTGGAGTTGGCAAACTCAAGAGGCTTCCATAGCCTTGGCAGCTCATGACAAGAGCCTCGGGTGATTACTGATACCATAAACAAGAGTGTCAATTGATAAATCAACAACAGGAGTCACTGTGCACTTACTCCTCATGTAGGATATCTGTCCTTCTGTTCTTAATGTGTTGTACTATGTGAATTAACAGCATAACTAGTACTCAAACAGTACTTTACACTTTGTGTTTCTGTGTGGGTGCAAACTGTTGAAATTTTTACTTAGTATATACTAAATTGATCTTCTGTATATAAAGATAATTGAAAATGAATCTTGATGTGAATGGAAGGGGAGAGAGAGCAGGAGATGAGATGGTTGCGGGTGGGAGGGAGGTTATGGAGGGAAAAACCACTGTAATCCAAAAGCTGTACTTTGGAAATTTATATTTATTAAATAAAAGTTAAAAAAATAAAAAGTATATAAATATATAGAAATATCAGTTTAAAAAATTTTATTTAAAAGGTAGAATGACAGAGACACGGACAGAGAAGAGAGAAATGTATCTCTTGTCCAGTGGCCCCAAATTTTGCAATAATCATGGCTAAACCAGGCCAAAACTGACAGGTCTCTATATCTGAGCCATCTTCTGCTTCCTTCCAGGACATGTTATTGGGAAGCTGGATCAGAAGCAGGGTGGCCAGGCCTCAAACGGGCACTCCAATATGGGAATGCAGACATTCCATGAGGAAGTGTAGCCTGTACCACAGCCACGCCCACTCGGATAGATTTTTTAAAAATTTACAAACAGTGGAGACTATGAAATTTCTCCTGTTATGATCATGTATGTTAAGGCGCAAGATGGGGGGATATAATTAAGAATAAAGAAGATGTGAACAAATTTAATCTTTGTAGTACAGCAATATTTTCAATTGAATAGTTAAGCTCTTCATAGTCATTAATATGTCTTTTTTAAAAATGACAGCACAGTATTTTCTGAATCTCATCATTGTCACTTCACTAGATATTTTCAAAATGATGAATAAAACATAAACAAATGGAATGAGAGATGGTTACCATGGATGATTCTAAATTGCAGTTGGCTTGTTACTGTTGTGCAGGTTCTCTAAATGTTTTATATTTGGAATTTGCTGGATCAGCTGAATAGAAATTCCTATATGTTGATTTTTGTATGCTTTATGCTGAAACTAATTTTTAATGAAACTGAGGTGACTTGGCTATGTATGAACCAAATTAATAGGCCTGTGTTGGTGAAAATGTGCGAATCAAATTTCCAAAAAATAAAATAGGAATTCCTAGCTAAATTGAAGCTTTGATCTATTAAAACTTAAGAACATTAGGGCAAAGTCTGTGTTCAACTATTTTCAGATTTTGAAAGAAAATGAGAAAGAGCTGTGTTCAAGTGTAGAGCATATGTGTGTACATCCCCATGTAGGTCCCATGATTCTTTTTCAGTCTTAGACAAGCCATTGTAAAATGAAACTGTGTTTAAGAGGACGACTATGTAGTGCTTGTTGAAAAGAACAATGTTTTCATTTCAGTCCACGGCTGCTGAATGCAGCATTCAGGGGAAAAGTGAATTCAGGGACAGTGAGCAGGCCTGGTTGTCAGACTCTTCCGTTCTTTGACCCACACTAGGTGACATTGATCTAAAGGTGGCTGACCCAGACACAGGTCTGTCCAGGTGCAGTTGAAGGGACAAGGAAGGAAGACAGCATGCTTTTAAGTGCCCTTTACAGTCTGCACACACTTCTTTAACTGCCATATCCCTGTCTACATAACCTTTTCATCCCCACAGCTAATTGCAAGGGGGGAGGAGAGGTACACTGCCCTTATCTTGGGGAGCCATGTGACCCTCTGAAGTCCAAAGTTCTTTATAGCAGAGGGGGAGATTTGCATTCTGGGGGAACAATTAGCCTTGACCCTTATACAAGGGGGAGTCATTGACATAAAGTGTATCTCTAAGGACCCACCTGAGATGAGTGTGCCCTACTGACCACTTACTTCAGTATCACTGTGTTCCACATCTCCGGCTAGAGGGAGACTCCACTGGGATCCGGGCAGCCACTTTATGTTGTATTGTGTTGTTCAGGATCACCATGGTGTCTTTTAAAATAGTGAGAGTACCATAAATATTTGTTCATTTGCTGGAATCAGATGTGAAAATGAAACATTACTCCTTTCTTCACTTGGGATTTCAGATCCAGACCTTGAGGCTTCTGTTTAATTATTCATTTTCCAATGTTATGAGAGCAGTGTTTGAGTTTGGCCCCTGCTCCTGGAGCATGCCTGTGTTCTCTGGGATACTCAGAGTGGGATGTCAGCAGACAGAACAATGTGGTGTCAGAAAACGGACTGAAATGTGTCAACTACTCAAGGGCAAAGGCCCACAGACATCACCGCAGAATCCACTGGTTTTCGTCATTGTAACACAGTTCATGAAGGGACAAGAAAGAAGTGTACTTTAGCTCCTCCTCTTCAGCTGCTCTTAAGATTTAAAGAGAACACATTTGAATTCTGACAATTTTAAATACAGCTGAAATGGAATGAAA